AGCCGCGGCTTTGCTGTAGAGTCTGTGCAAACATCTCGTATTTCCTGATGTCGTTGTCGCTGACGGAGCGGCGAGCAAAGCGCATGGCCTCCTCAAAGTGGTCCCTGCGGATCTCTGGCACCGGGTCGTCCTCCTCCACTTCCTGCAATGGAGCAGACACACCGCTCGCTTTGGGCCATGCTCCGACAGCCAGCGGGAGCACCTGGAAAGGGGAAACTGCAGCGAGGCGTAGCCTCACTCAGGGAAGGGTCCCCTTGGCAGACAGGGGGAAAGCCTAGTCCCCCTGCTCCCCCCAGCAGCTGGGCTGCCAAAAGCCAGGGGCCTACCGCTCAGATGAGGAGGGTCAGCACCCCGCTCCGGGGCACACGCCGCACACACCGCCCTGGGAGTGACCGGTGCCAGCGGCCTGAGACGCTGCCACACTCACCATGGCCGAAGGGTTGGTCTGCCTCTCGCGCTCTCGCCGGATCTCGTTCTCGATGGACTCGCGGATGGCCAGTTTGCAGGCCCGCTGGCAGATCTCTGTCAGGTCAGCTCCCGAGAAGCCATTGGTCATCTTAGCCAGGAAGTCCAGGTCCACATCCTGCGGGAGAACATGGGACACTGCCAGCAAACACCATGGTGTCACCGGCCTTTAAGCTGACCGGCTGCCCTGCTAGAATTAGCCAGCAGCCTGAGAACCCCACAGCTCAGTTCTGGCAAAGGCAAAGCCGCCCTGCCCTCCAGGCCCCGCCAGGGAAGGCAGCTGGGTACAGCACGGTCCGGGGGCAGGGCTCGGGGCTCTGGTGCCAGGGCCAGGAATCACGGGAGGGGGCTGTGGGGTGTGGGGAGGGGGAGGACTCCTCCCATGGGAGGTGCAGGCTCTGGGGCGGGGCTGGAGATGAGGGGTTTGAAGTGCCTATAGCATCTCAGAAGAGGGCTCTGGCAATGCTCTCGCTCGATTTCCCTCCCCTGTGTGTCAGCAAGACAGAACCTCGTTCTTTTCCACCCGCCCGCGGGGGGATGTAGATGAGCTGGTCCAGGCGGCCAGGCCGCAGGATGGCCGGGTCGATGATGTCTGGCCGGTTGGTAGCACCGATGATGAAGACGTTCTTCTTGGTGGACATGCCGTCCATCTCGGTCAGGATCTGGTTAATGACGCGGTCCGCGGCGCCGCCGCCGTCTCCGATGTTCCCCCCTCGAGCCTTGGCAATGGAGTCCAGCTCATCGAAGAAGAGCACACAGGGCGCGGCCTGGCGGGCCCCGGGTCGATGATGTCTGGCCGGTTGGTAGCACCGATGATGAAGACGTTCTTCTTGGTGGACATGCCGTCCATCTCGGTCAGGATCTGGTTAATGACGCGGTCCGCGGCGCCGCCGCCGTCTCCGATGTTCCCCCCTCGAGCCTTGGCAATGGAGTCCAGCTCATCGAAGAAGAGCACACAGGGCGCGGCCTGGCGGGCCTGCACGGTGCACACACACACACACACAGCCGCTGTTATGTGCGCCAAGGCAGTGCCGGCACCACCCCAGAACTTGCTTTCAGCCCTGACTGGCCACGCCCGTGCTGCCGCCCTCGGAGAAATGCTAAGTGCGACTGGGCCACAGGGCACTCGGGCCAGCAGCTCTCCATGCCCTGAGCTGGGAACAGGGTGTCTGACACTCCAGGCCTAGAGAAAAGCTGGGAAGCTTTCTGGCCGGACAGGCTCTCCTCCTGCATGAGATTCACTTCCCTGCTAGCCCATTCACTGCCCTGCCAGCCCCCCCAGCCAGGCCACCCGCACCACAAGACACACACACAACTCAGCAGGGGCTCCCGTTTCCCCATGGCGGTGGGCAGCTCCCGGAAGCCGGGCGTACTGCTGGGCGGGGCTGAGGACTTGTAGGAACATGTGGAAGGGTGGTTAGTTTGGGAGGCTCGACTGCAGGTGGTGGCTAATGGCTTTTCCATGGCCTAGTTCCCTTCTGTTCTGGGCCTTAGCCTGCACCCAAGGCCATGATACCTGAGCATCTACCAGCCAAGAGGTGCAGGTGGTAGCAGGAACAAGCCCATTACACCTACAGGGCTCGCACTGCTGGGAGGGGCCGTTAATCTCCCTGCACGGTGACAAACTTAAGACAGCCCTGGGGCTCAGCACAGGAGACTCCGGGGAGATGCTCATGGCAAAGCCCTTTCAGGGCACAAAGCCACTTACCTTGTCGAAGATCTCGCGCACGTTGGCCTCGGACTCCCCAAACCACATGGTGAGCAGCTCAGGCCCCTTGATGGAGATGAAGTTGGCCTGGCACTCGTTGGCGATGGCTTTAGCCAGCAGCGTCTTACCACAGCCGGGTGGCCCATAGAACAGGACCCCTTTGGAGGGAGTCATGCCGAATTTGAGGAATTTGTCGGGGTGCTCCACAGGGTACTAGAGGCGGGAGAAATCTTGCATCAGCCCTCAGAGAACTATCAGCCAGACCAAGGGGTCATACCCCGATTCTGCCAGCTGGGAGGGGTAAAGCTCCAAATCTTAGTTCTGCCCCTTGGATTCTAACACCGGTTCCAAGGCAACGTCCGTAAGAGCATTCGCCCTCGCCAGTCCTGGGGTCTGGAGAGCCCCGTTTGCCCCCAGACCAGGCACTGCCTGGCGAGGAGCAGAGCTCTGCAGGGATCACACTAGAGGGGAGAGGCTATGGCTCATTTGGCCAGGGTCCCATCAACTGAGACGGGCCAGGGGGTGGCTTTTGGTTACCCTGATGGGCTGGAGTCAAACCAGAGAACAAGAGGGGATAAGAGTCTCCAACTGATACTTGACAAAAGGGCAGTGATGGGTCTTCAGCATCAGCCCTGCAGCCCGAGAGGGGCACGCAGGGCCAGGCCTGGGATACCAGGGTCAGGGCCATGGGAGAAGAGCATTTCCAGAGTCTCCTCTCGGAAAAAGCTTCACACCACCTGAAAACCCTGGCTCCAACACCTCCCGCTCCCGCCCCAGCAGCACGGACAGCCCAGGTGCAGGCACAAAGCCCTCAGCCGTTCTCTCACTCAGTCTCTGAGCAGCCGGGGTAACAGGAGAACCCTGGTGCCCCTTGACACCAGCGTTTCCACCACTACCACCGACCCGCGAGCTGCTCGTGGAGAAGGCAGAGAAGCGCGACGCTCCCCTGCGTGTGCCCAGCCCGCCCCTCACCCCACACCACCAGGCCCAGCGGGCAGCAAGAGGGAGGAAATCAGACACCGTATGACAGTGTTTGGGAAGGCCTGTGGGACTCACAGACAGACACCCCTGCCTAGGTAACGTCTCCATGTGCAGGCCACCCAGGGATCTCTCAGGAGACGTTCTGATGAAGCAAGTCAGCGGGCAGCCAGGAATGGTGCGCACCAGCCCTCACCTGCACGAGCTCCTGGAGCTCTCGCTTGACATCTTCCAGACCACCAATGTCCTCCCAGGTGACCTGGGGCACCTCCACCACCGTCTCCCGCAGAGCTGAGGGGTTGCTCTGGCTCAGAGCCCACTAGTGCCAGGAGAGAAAGGGGGACGGGAGTTAACACACTGCCCTCCCGTGCTCTAGGGACGCAAAGAGCAGGGAGAGGCGTGAGCCAGCAGCAAAAGGAGCAGCTCTGCATTACCCTGAAGTCATCCATGGTCACGGCCAGGGAATTCATCACTTCAGCATCAATGGTTTCATCCTCCAAGTCTATGAGATCCATCTTCTTCCGGATGGCCTGCAGGGCAGCTTCGGAGCAGAGAGCAGCCAAGTCAGCACCAACATGGCCGTGGGTCTCGTTGGCCACCTGAAAGCCAAGCACCAGCCGTGACTTACCAGGACACGTGCAAACATGTTACACGGCAGAATTCGGGCCCCGCTTCTCTGCAGCTGGCCAGACACACAGTCCCGTCTGGGGGACAGGAACCTGGATGCTCTGCCGTAAGCTCCGGATGAGCAGGCAGGGAGACGCTATGCTCATACGAGGTACAGGTGAAAGCTAAGACCTTCATACGAGATTGCAGCTAGGACTAACTCAGAAAGGGGGCAAAACAGGATAGCCCTGGAGAGGAGCCTCGTTCCACAGGACTGACCCGCTTCACCCACGCACGGCCAAACGCTTGGCAGCTCAGCCTGTGGGCCGCTCAACCCTTGGCTTCCGCGGAGCCTGCCAGCCGGAGGAGTCAGAGGATACGGTAGCACAACACTCCTGGAAGTGGCCTAGAGCAATTTGTGCCCAGTGGGGTGGGAAATCCCAACTGTACACAGACGGACGACATCTATCGCGAGAGCTCTCGGAAAAGCTCTGTCAGTGGCAGCAGGAGTGGGAGGGTCGGGGCATTAGGAAGGGGCCAGGAAGAAGCTAAACCTGCACAGTGCCACTAGATAAACCAATGGTCTGTGCAGCACCGTCAGCCCATCCCCCACCACACACGTTCCAGTTGGGAAGAGCACAGAAAAGGGCCGATGATGAGATGGGGAGGGAGAGGGGGCAGTAGTCCTGGGGCCCAGGGCTCCGGGCTGACACACAGCAGCAGCTGGACCCCAGGCCACGCTGCGGGCTAGTTGGGGGAGGCTAGCCTCTATCCCCAAGGCCCATGCCCCTTCCAAGGCCAGAGCCAACCACTTCCCCCTGCCCTCCCCACTGCCCAGTGAAGGCTGTCGCCAGACCTGGATGGCAGCGACTTCTGGTCACAAGCCATCTGGGTAGAATGAAGGCCAACAATTCCCTGCTCATCCAGCATCCTGCCCTTCCCGTCCCATGGATAAATGGCTTCCCCACAACTGCCACACTCCATCCCTTCCGCGGCCCGCTGTGTGCAGACACAGCGGCTCCCCCAGGCAGCCTGCCACCAACCTGCTCCAGATCAACATCGTCTGCCAGTTTCATGTTCTTTGTGTGGATCTGCAGAATCTCGAGGCGGCCGGTGGCATCAGGGATACCGATATCCACCTCTCTGTCAAAGCGACCTGGGGAGCACAGAACACACCTAGCTGCCCAATTCTCCAGTTGCAGCACTCCCCAACCCTGGGTCCCACTGGACAGCTATATGAGGACTACTCATGTCCCAGGAGGCAAACGAGAGAGACATGAGAGGGGAGAAGGACGCAGCTGTTAACATGATCTTGGTAACTAATTGACCATTCATTATCAGTGGGAATAGGCCAATGGAGGGATGATAGGAGTTACTATAGAGAACTTTCTGGGTGTCTGGCTGGTGAGTCTTGCCCACATGCTCAGGGTTTAGCTGATCGCCATGAATTTTCCTCCAGGGTAGATTGGCAGAGGCCCTGGAGGTTTTTCGCCTTCCTCTGTAGCATGGGGCACAGATCACAGCTGGAAGATTCTCTGCATCTTGGGGCCTTCAAAGTATCTGAAGAATATCTGAGATCTAGGTGAGAGGATTATTCCAGGAGTGGGTGGGTGAGATTTTGTGGCCTCACTGTGCAGGGGGTCAGACTAGATGATCATAATGGTCCCTTCTGACCTTAAAGTCTAGGAGTCTATGAGCTGCTCAGAGCAAGGGAGAGCAGCAATTAATTAGAAATTGGGATTGCCAAGGTCAGAGGAGCACCGTGTGGGTTAGCCATTTTTCTGGCATGAGGAAGGTGCGTGCTCCCCTCACCAGCACTGCTCTGTGTCGGACAGAAGCAGCCCCATGGCTCCCCGCTCTTCTCTGACCCCCCCTGCAATTTACCAACATCCGCCTGGAACTGTGAGCACCAGAGCAGGACACATGGTTCTGGCACCAGTGCCAAACACAGAGTCAAACAGCCTCGCTGCTCCAACTCTGGATTCCCCCGCTCCGCAGGCCAGGGTCACACTTGGTCTGCTGGCCACAGAGTCACACTGGGAGCTCAGGTCCCGCTGACTGGCCACGGTGCCAGCTAAGCCACAACGTGTGCTGTTACAGTGCTGGGGGAACGAGCCCCGATCCCTGACTGTCACTACTGCAATACACATTAGTAGTCACATGCAAAAACGTGAACATGCAGCAACTGCCCAGTGCCAGCAGACTGTGCACCCACATGGCTAGTTGTGCAATGAACGGTCCATTTGCCCATGCAAGTTCCACTAGTGTGCAATCTGGCAGAAACTGCTCATGCAAACTGGAGATCCAGGCTTGGCGCACAGTTCTGAGAATTCCCTGGATGCAGGACAATCGGGCTCGCTGCAAGTGAAAGGATAACCCTGCCTGCAGTGACCAGCGCGAGTGATGCCTTTAAAGCACCCCCAAAGCTCCCAGTAGAATTTCATTTAGTTCTGCACAGGAGTCACCATCACTACCGCATCCGCCAATTTCTGCAGTTGGTAACCCCGAGGCAGAGGGATGCCAAATGCTGGAGGCCAGAAATGAGTTCCCGGGAGCGCCTGAAGAGACGCATCAGCAAATCATCGGGCAGGTGCTAGTATCTAATCTGTCCCTTCACAGCCCTAACTCAGGGGCTGCCTGTCACAAGCAACAGCCGCCCTCACAACAAGGCAGCAAGGGCAGTTACCGAATCGCCTGAGCGCGGGGTCAATGCTGTTAGGTCTGTTGGTAGCTGCCATAACAATCACATGTGCTCTCTGCTTCAGGCCATCCATAAGAGTCAGCAGCTGAGACACTATGCGCCGTTCCACCTCGCCATGCGTCTACGGAGAGAAAACAGCAGGTCAGCCAGAGGTCCACCAAGCAGGTCGGCAGCGCCGCAGCACCAGCAGCAGTTCTGGCAGCGCCCTGTTCCGTGCCAGCCCAGCCTTTGGATTCTGCCTAGCTCAGACTGAAACCCAGGCTGCACCTACATGGCTTCGGCAGTGCTCTGCTACGGGCCCGCCCAGCAGTGCTAGCGCGGCGGGCGGGCGGGCCGCCGTTTACCTTCTCTCTCTTGGGAGCAATGGCATCCAGCTCGTCAATGAAGATGATGGCAGGGGCATTTTTTTCAGCTTCCTCAAAAGCTTTCCTCAGATTGCTCTCAGACTCCCCCGCCAGCTTGCTCATGATCTCAGGGCCTGGAAAAGAGCAGCCAGGTGACAGGGTTTGGGGAAGCAACAAGTTGCCCAGAGGGCCCGTGACTGAGCAGTTCCCTTCCTATCTGCAGAGGAAACACAACTGGGAGCAGCCCAGGCCGGGATCACCCGCAAAATCCACAGCAGCAACTAAGCTGCTTTTTACACCAGCCTACAGAGTCTCCACCCAGCTACCTACCTACATGCAGTTAGAACAGGGGTGGGCAAAAGGGCATCTGCAGGCCAGACCCAGCCCCCAAGCGGGTTGATCCAGCCCATGGAAACCCTGCTGCTCCCCCGTCCCCAGGCCAATTAGAGCCTGGGGGAAGTGCACGACGTTTCCTCCACCCAGCGCTTAGAAGCGCTACACACTCTGGCAGGGCAGGAGGAGACTGTCACGTTGCTGAATTGGAGGGAAGCAGCCAGATCGCTGCTGCACCCCTAGGTGGGGGTGTTGGCTCCAGAAATTGGTATGGGGGGAGCCATGTGGGGTATTGAATGGGAGATTATTGTTTGCTGATCTTATGTACGCTATTTATGAGAGTGTATAATGTCTGTGTGTGTAGGTAGGAATCTGTAATCTGTGTGGAAGCTGAATATTTCTGTGAATGTGGTTGAGCATTGCTATGGACAGGCTGAGTAGCAAAGCCCCGTGGAACAATGGCCCTTGATGGCCCAAACACATCTAAAGCAGGAGGGCGGAGCCCCAAGAGCTGCCAGCAGAGAGAGGCTGAGGACCAGGTGACCTGCTACATACTAGAAGAGGCCAGGAAGGAGGATAAAGAGGCCCTGTGGTCGATGCCATTTTGTTCTCAGCTCAGCACTTCATCCCAGAGGCAGCCTTGGAGGGATCGAAGAGCCCGGAAGACCTGTGAACCCATCCTGATCGCAGGATGTGCAATAAGAACTTTTAAACCAGCAGCTGCAACATCTCTGCTAGAGCCTGCATCGAGGACTGGGAGATTCGGTGCATGTAACGTACTGTACTTTAATAACCTCACTCTCAGGCTTTTCTTTCTTGTAATAATAAACCTTTAGATATAGATTCTAAAGGATTGGCCCAGCGTGATTTGTGGGTAAGGTCCAGAGGGTAAATTGACCAGGGATCTGTGGCTGGGTTCTTGGAACCGGACAGAACTTGTTCGGGGTAGGTGGGATTGGGTGCTAGGACCCCCCACCTGTGTATGAGGCTCCGGGCCATCTGGGGCACGGATATTGCTGGGGTGTCGGAGGGGTTTTGCTTGGGAGGCTTCAGGCAGGCAGCTGAAGCGCTCTGTGGGACTGGTTCGTGGCCTATTTGGAGAGGTCACCAGTCAGGGGGGGCTGTAAGGAGCCCCGGATTTGAGCAATTCGCCCTGAGCGGACGCCTTCAGCTGTGCCCAGACACGGCCCGGTCCGTCACAGAGACTCCGTGCGCTCTCCTGCCCCCAGGCCAATCAGTGCCGGGGGCGGGACGTCTCCTCCCACGCCAGGGACATGGGCATCTAGAGGGAACCTGGGGGTGGAGAACCCAGAAGTATCCTGACCCCTGAGCTGGAACCACTAGCATCGGGCATCTTCACTGCTACTCAGCCCCTCTCTCTCCAGGACTCCCCACGTCTCTGCAGACTGCTGGGGTCCGTTTGGGACCAAGTGTGACGTAGTGGGGGTACCTGGCTGGTTTCTATGCTGCTGGCTCTGGGGGAACCCCCACTGGCTGCCGTGGGTACCACGACCCAGCAAAACAGGATGAGTCACTATGCAAACCAGTGGCCAGACACCCCCCATGGAGAGGAACAAAGGAAGGTGGAATGCTGCCTTGGCCGGGGGGCAGGGCTGGAAGTTGGGGAGTTGGTTGCTGGCTGTCGGAGGGCATGGAGGAGAGCCTAGGGGAAGGGGCTGGAGTTTAGGGGCCCAGTCTCCCCCATCTCAAGGGGGCCTGAGGCATCCTAGCCCAGTTCCTGTAACCAGATTACATCTGTGCTGCGCTGTGCTGGAGGAGCAATAAACCACCCTCAATTCCACTGGCTGGTGCAGTCTGTTTGTGCCATTTCGGGGTGCAGGAGACGGGGAACCCCCAACGCGCCGTCACA